ATCTCTTGGCTGATACTATAATCTACCCATAGCTTCATGATTTGATTGGATTAAGCTTTAAAAGATCAGAAAATTGTTTCCTTGCACTTGTAGTAAAACATAATAGATATGGGGCACCTGGGTGTCTCAGTGGGTTAAAGCCTCTGCCTTCAGCTCAGGTCATGATCCCAGGGTCCTGGGATCGAGACCCGCATCGGGCTCTCTGCTCAGCAGGGAACCTGGTGATCTCTGTCTGTCAAATAAATAAATAAAATCTTAAAAAAAAAAACCATAATGGATATGATCTAGTGTTAGCTATTATTTATATTAGATTTAAAGTTGTACGCATGTGTATGTGTGGTTTTATGTCACAACTCTAAGTTAATATTTGGTTTGTACCCACATTAAGATTTCCCATACAGGGACTTCATGACCTCTTTTTCTGTTATTTCCCTTTCCTGAGTTTGCTATTTTTCAGAACTAGGCCTGATTGTAATTTACCCTTTTCTGAAAAAGGCTCCTCTCCTCTTTCAGGAATGCTCTCAGAATCCCAGTGACCCACACTGAGTGTTTGGGGAAGACAGAGAGCCCCATCTACCCAGTTCAGTAATTCAAATAAGGTGAGAAATAGGAAAAAACAGTTGTCACTGGTGGTTGGCTCTCAGATATGAGAGTAACCTTACCAAACTAAATCTACTTTACATAAATTCAAACATAAAAGAATCAAATATTGTCTGGAGGACTTTATCCTGTCTCTTTTGTCAGTCCATGTAACTAAATATGGGCTTCTTGTACAAAGAAAGACAAAATTATAAAATAAAATAAATAAGCAAAATGAAAAACCTAAACGAAACAAAATCCTATGGTATTCCAGGAACCCAATAAAGGCCGTCTGTGCAAACAAAGGCAAAGGGCCAAAATAAAGCCAAAAACTCAACAACTATCTTAGAATCTGAAGGACACAGAGAAATTCTTATTTTTGGAATAACTTACTTCTCTCCCATATCTACACTAATGAAGAGGTGAATTGGGCTAATGGTAATCTAGAAATTTCAGACATTGGCTCTGCAATGCTTTGCAAGCATAATCTGCCTGGTATATGACAGTAAGGATTTTCACATATATTCTAGCCTCTAGACTGCTCTCAGATGGATGAGGGCATTCTTGCTGCATATATGAGCATTTGGTAGTAGGTAATTTTGTAGAGAATTCAAGCGATTTCCTCTGAAGTTTTTCCTTTGAATTCTTATTACTTAAAACTCAGTAGTAATACTTTACTTTGTATCAAGTGCTATGCTTGGACTATTTGATCTGTTTCTCCCTACATATTTTTATTTTAGATATGTAAAAACTGAGGTTTAGAGAGCATATTAGTCAGCTTGGACCAATACCACAGACTGGGCAGCTTAAACAACTGAAATTTATTATAGTTACTATGGTTTATTATAGCTGGGAAGTCAAAGTACCCGAGTTCCTTGTGAGAGCCCTCTTTCTGGCTTGCAGAAAACTACCCCCTCTCTATGACCTCACATGGCAAAGAGACAGAGAGCAAGCTGGCAAGCACTAGCTCTCTGAAGTCTCTTCTTAGAAAGACATTAATCCTATGGGGTCACAACTCTATGCTATGATTTTATTTAATTTTAATTACTTCCTTAATTATAAGTCCTATCTCCAAATACAGTCACCTTTGGGTTTGGAGCTTCCATACATGACTGTAGAGGGACACAATTCATACCAAAGCAGAAAGATTAAGTGACTTTTATAAGGTCACAGTACTGTTGAATAGTAGAGCCAGGATTTGAGCAGTTAGGCACCAAAACCCCTGTTGTCAACCTTCCTATAACTGTCTGTGAGTCTCATGGAGGTTACAGAGTGGGCCAAGTTTGTCTTCTAGATCCTCTGCCTTTCTGTGTTCTGTACTTTTGTCATACCCTTCGCACCTGCTCTAGTACATCCCCATGTTCCAGCTCCTCAGGATTCATCTGATTTGTACTAAAGATTGATTCATTCCAAGAGTATTTGCATATTTATGAACAAAATACCTCAAATAAGAATGCCCGCCCTGCCAGTAATGGGATGTTAGCTTTCTGAATAGATGAGAAACATATTTTAGAAGAGATTCTTTTCACATCTCTCAGATTACTCCTTACAGAAGATTGTGGCACTTTGGAATATGGGTGTGTAATACAAACATTTTCTGCTAGTTTAGTTTTTCTTCTTTGATGCCTTAGAAGAATATTGTTTAATTCATTTTGTTAAATATCTACTTCCCTGTCCTTTTCTTTTTAGTAACAAATATTTCTAGCCCTGCACCAGGCACCTTGCTCAGCAGGGGAGTCTGCTTCTCCTTCTTCTTCTGCCCCCATTCACAGGCTTGCTCTCTCTCTCTCTCTCTCACTTTCTCTCTCAAATAAATAGATAAAATCTTTAAAAACAACAACAACAACAACCAAAACCCCAAACATTTCTTGAACACTTTCTATACATAGGACATGAATATAAATTTAAAGATATAAAATGACCCTTGTTTTCAAAGTATTATTTAAGTATAATATGCTAAGTCTCAAAGAAAGATCTAAGAAAAAGTAATATGACATTTCAGAGAATGAAGTTAGATAGAACTGCAATTTTTAAAAGTTTTATTTTATTTTATGAACACTGAGGCATTTCTGAAATCTTTTGAGTAGGTAGATAGCTTTATCTGATTCACTTTTAGAATCACCTTTATAATATAAAGGGGAGGATGAAGAGGAAGAGAGTTCAGAATAGTGTAATTATCCTGAGGTAAATTCTGTAGAAAAAAGAAGTTGTAAATAGTAGAACACATTTGTGAGTCTAGTGTTTGAGGCTTGAAGTCATATTTGTATAAAAAGTTTAGTGTTTCCCCACATTTTATCATAAAGGATATGGGATGTTATTCAAAATATTTAATAACTGGTATGACACAGGACTTTAACAATCAGAACAGGAAACTGGCCAATCAAAATAGATCCGGTCTAAATTTATAATTAACAAATGTGACCATACTGGTATGTGCTGGTTGAATGTCAGATCTGCTTTTGTCTCTGGTTGTATAGCTATGGATCTCATGATTTGAAAAATTTTACTCCTTAAACACATTTCAGGGGTACCTGGGTGGCTCAGTGGGTTAAACCTCTGCCTTTGGCTCAGGTCATGATCTCAGCGTCCTGGGATCGAGCCCCACATCAGGCTCTCTGCTCAGCAGGGACCCTGCTTTCCCTCACTGCCCCCCGCCCCCCTCAAGTAGGCCTCTCTGCCTACTTGTGATCTCTCTGTCTGCCAAATAAATAAATAAAAAGTCTTTTAAAAAAAACCCAAACAAACCACATTTCATAAATTAGGTAAAAAAAAATTCATTTTCCAATTTCTTAATTTAATAATATACTTCTGTAATTTATATTAGCTTAAGATCATTATAACATACTAAATTGATACAATTTTAGCATTAATTTATGACACTTGGTTGTCAGTTGGTCTATGTGGTCTTATATCAGGCAAATGTTTAATCTCTACTTCGTATTTTGAAATGCTAAAATATTTACCTAACTTCATAAATCCCTAGGGGACAGATGGACTGCTGTCCTCAATTAACAGTGTTGATTTAAGTCCTGTACCTCACAGCCTAGAGATGTTTTAAAATCTCTCTCTCTCTCTTTCTCTCTCTCTCATACACACACACACTAAATGTTTTCATAATTGACATATTATTTAGTTGTCAAAGTCTCTACCACTCTGTTTTGTTTTATACATTTATGTTATAGTATTTTACTCACCTTGTCCCTGAAGGCAAACACATCTATAATCTTTGATTTAGATATTTTTGTGTTTTTAGAGACATCATTTTGTTCATGTCATAATCCAATTCCAATTATAGTGAATTATGCTGTGATCAGGTTTTAAAAACTCCTGAAGTAGCTCTATCTCTTGAAGAACTGTTAACTCAGAAGACTTTACCATTTATAGTTGGCAGGTTCTGCTTGAGCTGAATTCACCTTGACTTCCATTTTAGTTCACAACTTTCTACTCTTTTACATTCTACTTTTGACCTTCAAAATTATTTTGACAATCACAGTTGACTTTTTGTAGTATGTAAAACTTCTCTTTTTGATTTTTGTTTTGATTCTTTCCTCTACTTACATCCCTTGCTCTTCCTCTGAAACTAGTCCTCTTGAAACTACGTGTCCCAATCCCCCACTGGAAAAAGTATCTGTGATCTTGTGTACTTCATGATGGTGCTCTTGGCCCATCTGAGCCTTCAGGGACCAATAGGCAACATTCTTGTGCCATCATGGTTTGCCTGATATCTTCCTGTCCTTTCCATTCTTCCCCCAGGACCATGCTGTTGCTGCTACAAAGTGCTGTCTAAGATAGGGCCAACTTTGAGCTCTGAGTGTGCTGATCTTCCCCTCTCATTGTTCCTTATAAAGATGATGGATCATTTTAGTTAGTAGAAGGGCAACCAGAAGATTCTGAATGGTTACAGCCCAAGTGGCAGATATAACGTGTTTTTGATGAACATTAATGAGCTAAGGTGTACTTCAGGGAGAGTACATTACAAGGACTCCATGAGAGACATTATGACTGGACCCTGTGCTTCTTGCTTCTATCCACAAAACTCAGTGTCTGCATATCCTGACTTTGACACTGCACTGCCATAGTGAGTAGGAGAAAGTGTGGGTAACACATGGCAGAACTTGGGGAAATTTTTCTTTCTTCCTTTTAAAAAAAAAGGCAGATGGTGTTTTGAACACAACTTGCCGTAGAACATAAAAGCGTGAGAGTTCTGGCTGTTTGAAAGAGAAAAAAAAAAAGTTGCTGTTTTTTAATGGTAAAACTAGTTTCTTCCAGGAGCTTAAAGAAAAAAAACATTGAGAAATGGGAGTGAACTGCAAGATAGGGTTTGTGTAACAAGTACCTAAAACCACAGAAGTCACATGGGCTCTTTCTGCTTTGCTACTTTTGACTGCTTGTCAGAGAATTAGACTTTTAGCTTCCCCTGTCCTGCGAGGCCACTCAACCATGTGCGAGCTGGAGTAATCTTTATTCACAATGTCTTTACAAAGGCTCATGCAACAGGGCAGCAATGGCAATTTGGCGGACTACTGTGCTGGTCCAGTATTTAGCTCTTACCCCCAGCTCAAGGGCAGCTTGCGAATGGATGATAATAGACGGATTCAAATGCTGGCAGACACTGTGGCTACTTTGCCTCGGGGAAGAAAGCAGGTATGATTACTGTTTTGTATTTTCTAAATGTTCATGTTATCTTGAGCGTAGAGTTGATATATCTGTCTGGCTTCACACCGAAATTGTATTTTAGAGGCTTTGGAATTAATCACTAAGAGTATGGGTGAGGAAGGAGACAGGGAGCCCCGAGACCTTGTGGACTAGTCCAAAAGATTTAAGACCATAATAAAAAATTTTTTTCCAGGCAAAAATTTGAAAGGAGATTCTTTTTCTCGTGTGAAGAGGTATTGAGGTAAAATGAAAATCGTTAAGTACATCGAACTTACTTAGTGCATATAGACATGGCCAGTTTGAGAATTATTGATCTTTTCCCCCTGGATGTGTCTCATTGATTCCTTCCCTCCCAGGTGCACTCCTTGATAGTTATTTCCAATCCAAGGAGAATACTTTTCCTTTAGGAAAAATTTTGTTGACTACATTATTTTCAGTGCTGGGGCACAGACACTTTCCTAATGTTATTGGGAATTAAGGCTTTTATTGGATGTGTGAATGGCTGATTGAATACCAGCTTAGTCACTTCCTAGCTGTGGGACCTTGGGCAAGTCATTTGCCCCTCTAAGATTTAGTTTTCTTTTTTCTATAATGCCGATAACAGTAGAACCACCCCAAGGACTTCTTCTGTGGCTTAAGTGAGGAAGTGTACAGTGCTTAACACATGACTGATATGTAGTATGTGCTCAGTAATTATGCTATCATTTTTCATTTTTATTGCAAGGTATTTCCCTAGAGACGAAAACTTATTTAGAAAAAAACATGTCCAGTTGAGTTTGTTTCTTTCATTCTATAATTTCCAATTTTTCAAACAATATTTTAACCTCTTCAGGTTTTGGTTATGTAACTTGTTATCATGCTGCAAGGACATATCTGAATTTAGAATTAGAATTGCTTTAAAGCATGAAGTTTTGTCCTCAAATCCTACTGTGCATCACGGGATCCTCTTAAGCCTCCTAATTTCAGGATTAGAGAGTTAGGGCGTAGAGGGAGAGTCATGATCTTTTCTCAGTGATGTATATAGCTGATTCCTCATTATTTTTCACAATGAAGATAAAGGCATAATTTGCCATGGCATGGATTTTTGATCTTTTTAAATCCCAAATGCTTTTATGACATTAAGCTTAATCAAATGATGAACATTTCTATCAATTTACTACTTGCCTGAAAATAAAGCAGCTGTGGGAAGAACCAAGATCTTTATTCAGGTTTCAGATATAGAGCAGTGTAGGAGGTACAGAGATGAGAAGAACACGTTTCCTGGTCTTGTAGGGTTAAAAATTCAGTAGGCAGAACCAATAGGCATTATACAACATAAATGCTCAAATCCAAGGACATGCCTTTTAAGATAACCTTGAAGGATACATATTCCAGTGATTGAAAGGTATTCCAGAACAAGGCAATAATTAATGCCTAGGCACAGATCTGGGGGCCTTCAGGGCACCTTGAGGTAACAGCACATTACTGTGTCCAGAGGACCCAGTAAGTGTCTGTGGGAGGGGAGGGGAGACCTCAGAGCTGAGCTGCTTTATGAAACACTTGAACACTTCCCCTGATGAAGTCGTCATTTGACCAGCACAGGGAGCCACTGGGTGTGTTTGAGCAGAAGAGGGTTTTAGGAACCTCACTTTAGAAACATGGTATGTCGATAAGTGGGTAGGGGTGAGTGGTGAGGGAGCAACTTTTGCAGTAACTGGTGAAACAAGAAGTGGATGGAATGGAGAGGAGACCCAGAAACTTGGGTGTGAAAGGCAGTGAAGTTGGAGGAGTCACATCTGCTTTTAAGCATGGGTGAAGACGCGTGGACTAAGAGAGGGCAAGCAGGAGGAGGTTATCGGAAGGAGATAATGAGGGGGATTGAGGCAGATGAAACACACTCACTGTGCATACATATATAACACATACAAGTGAACATATACATGCACACATTCCCACATTGATGAATTTATCTGATGTTCTCCTCTTTTTAGGTCTTCTCTTCTTCCTTTTCTTGTATTCTTTCCCATAGTAAACCCTACTCAAACAGGTTTTTCTTCCTGTTGTGAGAATTACTGTAAGAAAAAAAGAAAGCAAAACAAGCCTCTTCTCCACGATACTTCTGATTCTGTCCAATTATCATCAATGAGACTCGATGCAAGTTTATCCCAACATTTCAGAACTTTCCAAATGGATGATCATTTCTTTTAAGTGGTTTTTAGACAATAATCACCCATTTGGCACCGACTGAATTGCAGGCAACAAGATCCTTGTGAGGCAATCCCAGGAGCAGGTGTTTCTCTGCCCACAGTTATTTTCGACACTTTCAGGCTGACGTCAACAATTCATACTTCTCGTTATTGTTGGCTTTGGTTTCTGCAAAGCTTTATCTGGTGAGCCTCTAGTTTCAGATGAATCTTCAGAAGCATTTGGGTGTTTACACTCAGAATTGCTTAAAAATAGACTTCTGTGTGTGCATATTATCTCCATACCTGTATTTGTAGGAGGTGATAGACATCGTAGTGCAGCTTCTACTTCTGAACATGGTTTCAGTGGGGAAAAAAAAAATCCCTGCAATGGAAGACACAGTGGGAAGGAGACCAGAGTAAATAAGGAGAGGCTTTATAAATGTGGTGATGCCAAAGGCGTAGTGATTGTGCCTGATGGGACACTTGTCTGAGGGTAGTAGGTTGCATCAGGAAGGCAGTGTTCACCAAAGGCTGTCACGAGAGCCAGGGGCCTGAGGACCAGGCCAGAAGCTGGAATGTGCCTCAGTAGTTCCACAGGCTGCCTTTGCCTGCCAGTCTTGGGGTTATCGAATTATTGCTCAAACGCAGATTCTGAAGGGTGATTTCACGTAAAAGCTCAGATACAGAATTTTGTTAAGTGTGTATTTCTGGGGTGGACTCCGCCCTCCAGGAGTTTTCTCCTCATTTCAGGCTCCAGCCCCATCTGGAGCCAAAGCTCCCAAGTGTTCCTAACTGCAACAAAGTATTTTAAGCATCCAATGAATACTTTAGGCAGAAAACTATAGGAATTTCACTCCAAAAGAATTTGAAAAGTGTCCTCTAATCTAATATTGTGACACACCTGGAATCAAGAGCCCATAGTTTTTCTTAGAAAAGACGCTCATTAGTCTACAATGAGACTTTTGTGGGAAGCGGCGACATATCTTTGGGTTCCTTAAGGGCACTTAAGAGTTAGGAAACTGAAGTCCACTCCATTAAGCAAGTACCTTAGCATAGTCTGCAGCACCCTGCTCTCTCAAGGCTCCTGGCTTAAAAGGGGAACAGGGAAAAAAGCTATATTCATGGAAGACAGCAGTGAGAAGGAGGCAGGGACTAGAAAGTGAGCAGGGCACCTAACTTGTAGGCTTTTGAAACAGTGGAAACAAAAGAAACACCTTCTCTGTTGATAAGAAACCTCTCCCCACCCCAGGACTTTCAGGAAATGAGCACACTGAGTGGGGACCAGGAAGTAACAATCTGTTACTTAGCAGCAGAAGTGGCTACAGGATTGAACTTGGAGCTCCTCCCGGCCTGCGGCTCTTTGGCTAACCGTAACCCCTATCTTTTGCAAACTGACAGCTAAAATATCTGGTCTTGGCATCCTACTGAAGAGGAGCACTGTGAATCACTGCACGGCAGCAAAAATTACATTTTGAATATTAATGCCTGAACTTTTAAGTCATCTACCTAAAAACAAAAGAAGAGGAATCATAAGCTCACCCCCAGGCATCTTTCTATCAGTGGCAGCTAGGGGTTAAGAAGCTTTGTCTAACCAACAGCGGTAATTGAATGTGTAATTTGCAGGCCTGCCAGATTGCCCAACCTAGATTTCCCATATTAGATAATGTGTAATAAAAGACAGCTGTTGCCAGCATATGCTGTTCATCACACACCGGTTCCTCATTCGTGTGTCTCGGTGTCATCACCGCAGCCCTGAGAAAAGGCTCTGGCTGTGAGGGCATTCGGGAGCACGGCCTTCACTGGTTAGAACCCAGAGCCGGACCACACACTCTAGGAGAAGGGCTGCAGGAAAGATCTTCCAAAGCTGAGACCTTCCATAAGGCCGCAGGCACACTTCTTTCCACTTTAGCAGGTAGTCTGGTGTGTGAGCAAGGTTGAACTCTGAGAACATTCCTTTCCACATCGCCTGAGTCTGACAACCCAGATCAAAGACAAGGAGGCTTTGTGTCAAGATGTGGCACGTGTCAGAGAATTTGATGGTTCCTAATTTATTTAAATTCTTTTTTATTTAAATATTGGGTGCCTAAAAGAGGTTCATCGCTTATCCAGAGTAGAAACTAATTTATAATTTGACTTAGTCTGATTTTTTTGTGTGTCACTGATAACCCAAATCAGTCAGTCCACAGGAACTGAGTCTCTGCCATGTGTCTCACATTGTGCTAGGCAAATATTTTCAGTCAGACAATTAGATAGAAAGGTTAGGAAGAGAAAGGTGGGGCAGTTTCCTTCTGTGTGGAGGTCTTGGATTTGTCTTCTGGACTTACAGATTTTAGATTTGAATTTAAATAGAGTGGTTTTTTTATTTAGAAGACAAGTTTGCAGGTGAACCAGATGGAATCTTGAGGTTCCCATCAATGCTATGATTATTTGTCTGGCAAAAGGGCATTTAAAATTGCTGTGGAAAGATTGGAAATTTTAATAACTCATTAATTCTGGCTATCATTTATTCGTTTGGCAGTTTTATATTAGGGCAATACTATCTTCCTTTGCTTTCTATTAGTCCTTTCTCTATGGTTCTTGTTGTTTTTGGATTGAGATTTTTCTTTTTTTGTTCTTTTTTGTTTGTTTGATTTTCATTTTTAATGTTGCCACATGTTTTGGATTTTTTTAAATTTAATTTTATATTTTTAATGATTGCCCTTGAGCTTTTCCTGTGAATATTTAAAATCTGCTGAAGGACAACATTGAAAAGTATTTTAACTCAGTGGATATCTTTAAAAAAAAATTTCCCTTTATAAGAAGGCGAAAAAGGGGTACCCAGAACTACCTCCCGCCTTCCAAATGGCAATACTCACCTGACATGAGAAAGGCTCATTCTCATTTGCAAAACTGTTTCATTAAACCCTCTCAGTTGCCCTGGGAAAAAAGCACTAGACTGTGTAGCTCCATCCACTACTTAAAATGAAATGTTCTGCTTCTCATTCACACACACACACACACACACACACAAATTCCTCCTGAATTTGAGAATTTGATCTTTCACCACTACTCATTTACTTATATTGGTGTCTAGTAGTTTTACTTCTGTTTGTCTATTTAGCTATTTTTTTTAAGTTTCCACTCTATTCTAGGCCCTGCACTAGGCACTGGGGTAGAAAGTAAAATAAGTACATTCCCCAAGAGACCCAAAGGATATCGGGAATTATGTTTAGAAGGGAGGTATTTGATCCAGCTTACCCCTTACATAAACACACATACTTGTCTCTCTATATATGAATATCTGAATAATATGACTATTGATAGCAAAAGTAGTATTTTTAGAATAGAAACCCTAGTTATGATAACAGATAACGTAAGTAGGTATGACCTACCTGAGTATGTTAAAATCGGAAATGAGGGTAAAAGCCAGCCAGATAGCAATAATGAAAATAGATTAAGACAATGTGAGTGCAGTATTCCGGAGAGATGAGAATGATGGCCAATGTCAAGTTCATCTCCTCCATAAGAAGGCACCCCATTGCATAGCTGAGTGGTTCCTGCCCATGTGTGTGTTAGGTAGGGCAAACAGGCTGAAATAAATCATATAAATTGTTGGAGACCTTGTACAATGAGTCCTTACAAATTAAAAACAAATCCTTTTTACCAAATTTAGAGAATATTTTTGGATCTGGGCCAACCTAGTGCCGTCCTCAGAATGATATACACGGTTTGAGGCCTAGAACTGAAAAGACAAGGAATTACAAAATGTAATTAATTTACACCGAATCAACAAGGAAAGATCAGCTCTTCTTTACAGTAGCTTTATTGATCAATAAGCAAATTCTGAACACTGAGCCATTTCAGAAAGTTTGTGAGAATGCTGGCATTTGGTACTTGGTAATTCAAACTCATTAGCAGTGATAGAGGCTTCTCTCCGAACAAATGCCGTAATAAGGATTTTGTTTGTGTATTAATTTCTTCTATGTGGTTTTTTTTTTCCTGATTTTTCATCCCCTTTTTGTCTTATTTGTAGTTGTTTGGACAATGTGTTGCTCTTCTGACATTTTGTAAGGTATTCACTGATAGACAACAAGCATTTCACAGTGACAGTGAAACACTATGGCTTAGCTAGTACCAGAAGCTGATTTTTGGGCCCCTGGACCAAGACTTGAGAAGTGGCTAATTAACTTGTGTTAATTCCTAAAGGAATAAAATAAAAACACACACAGACTCACAGCAATCACCTGAGAAATAAGATGCTTCCTTTTGCTTATGTTTCCTATTTACAAGGGTAGAATATATCCTGGAAGTTTATGTGTATATAATTTTTTTCCATAGCATGCATTGGGGATGAAGGGGCCAGTATTCATACTGTTTATAGCATTCTGAGGCTCCCTTCCTTTCTTGGCTGGAAATCTCGTTGACTTTTCCAAACCTATTGCAAAAATAAGTCATAAAACAGAATTGAGATTTTGAGTCCCTGGTTTCACCTGAATTGTATTTCTGTATATGTATTGGTTCTTTACAGATTATTACAGCCTTCTAAAAACAGTAACATATTGAATTTTTACAATAAATACAGTCATTTCATCAGTATCAAAAAAGTATCAAGTATTTGGGTTTTATAGGCCATTCTATGGGTGTTGTTTTCTTCAGATTTCTGTGTGATTACAAATTGCACTGGTTCATTTTTCAGGGGCTATTTTAAATACAGATTAGATATGACATTCTTTTGGAAGCTTTAGAGTTTTGCCACATTACATGAACTCTTTTGCCGCAATATATTATTATTTGAGCCTCTTTTAGCCTTTTAATGCTTGAACGTTACCTTTCTCGGCTCTCCTTTTCTCCCAGTAGAGAATGGAAATTACTACCCTTACATAACCATTTCCTAAATCTGGGCCAAGGAAGGTGATAAAGAACAAATTCCTTTGTGATTTCGAACATTTTATAGATGTGTCTTAGGACCTTTTGATAACGGTGTGCTTGTTATATTTTTCAGCTTGCTTTGACAAGATCAAGTTCTTTAGGTGACTTTTCCTGGTCTCAAAGGTAAAGAGATTCATGTATTTTTTGGTCTCCTACCAGCATGCACTAACACACACACACACACACACACACACACATAGTCTTACATACTACAGTTTACCTGAATGTCAGCCATCTGTAACTGTGACAGTTACTTCATGATAAGAACGTGCCAAGTGTGAAACTTTGATATTCATGTGTATTTCTACTTTATTATTACAGAAAGCTCATTACTGTGGAAAAACAAGATAATGGAACATTTGGATTTGAAATTCAGGTGGGCAGTTTTCTATTTTCCAGATTTTTTTTTAAGATTTTATTTATTTATTTGACAGAGAGAGACACAATAAGAGAGGGAACACAAGCAGGGAGAGTGGGAGAGGGAGAAGCAGCCCCCTCTGCTGAGCAGGGAACTGGATGTGGGACTTGATCCCAGGACCCTAGGATCATGACCTGAGCTGAAGGCAGATGCTTAATAACTGAGCCACCCAGCCACCACTCAATTTTCCAGACTTTTCGTGAAGAAAGTGGCTCTGGTAGTTTGATATTAGCAAGGAAATAGTGAAGTCAGGATTAGAGAGTGATGAACGCTGTGACTTTTATTCAATGTGCTGTGGTTTGTTTGGGGTAGTTTTTCAGGATACTAGGTATCATCAAGGAAAGAAAATATCGAAGCAGTTGAAATAAAACCCCGGAGACATGCTCACCTCCTTGTTCTCAGTTGCTTTAGTTTTCCTGTAAGTCTACCGATTAGAAATGCTTGGTATCCACCCTGTCTCAAATGAGAAAGTGAAAGACTCTTTACAAATGTGCATTTTTTAAAAAAGGATTTTATTTATTTATTTGACAGAGAGAGAGAGAGAGAAAGAGAGACCATAGGCAGGCAGAGAGGCAGGCAGCGAGAGAGGGGGAAGCCGGCTTCCTGTTGAGCAGAGAGCCCAACATGGGGCTCGATCCCAGGACCCTGAGATCATGACCCGAGGCTTAAGGCAGAGGCTTAACCCACTGAGCCACCCAGGTGCCCCTGGATGTGCATTTTTATATATTTGCATTTCAGATATGTTTTGCATCATCATTTTTATACTGTATATGAGATTTTAAATCTATACTTCTGTATTCAAGAAATACTTGAACGCATGTAAATTTGTGTGTATGAGGCTGCATGTATTCATATCTATATCCTGTTACATTTGAAATACTAAAACTTTCATCTCAGATATACAGAAGAAACTTGGACTTTTTTCTTTTTGTTTTTTTTTAAAGATTTATTTATTTTGAGAGAGAGAAAGACAGAGAGTGTGTGTGTGCGTGAACAGGAAGAAGGGTAGAGGGAGAGGGAGTGAGACTCCCAAGCAGACTCCGTGCTGAGTGTGGAGCCCCATGTGGGGCTCAATCTCACAACACTGAGATCATGACCAAGCTGAAACCAAGAGCCAGAGGCTTAACCGACTGAGCAACCCATGTGCCGCTGGAGTTTTTTCTTAATGACAACACCTTACAATTATTATTTGAAACATTTTAGAAAAGTTGGGTTTACTTGCATATTGTCTCATGCTCTAGGATGTTTCTAAGAGTCTTTATACGTTTCTATTTCTAATAGTCTAAGAATTTCATCTTCTCATTTGCTCTCTGCTCTTTCATGGCCGTGTTTGTAAAGATGGTGAATCAGGTCAAATGAAACCTAATCCAACTAAGTGCAACAGTAATAGCTCAAGTATTATTATTTTTTTTCTTCCATCTTTTGCATTTCTTTTAGATGTCTTTTGCATAATCTTACTTTTACACTGCATATCAACTTTTAGGTCTTAGCTTTGATGCTGCTTTCAGAAAATTTTTGTGACTATCAACCCCCAAATTGGAAAGTCGGTGTGTATTTGAAGATGAGGAACAGGAAACAGCCAAGTAAAATATGCGTTCTGAATAAAGAAACAGAATGAGTAGGGAGAAGGCTGCAAGAGGAAGAAAGATACTTTCTACTTTCTTTTCTTTTCCTTTTTTTTTTTTTTAAGATTTTATTTATTTATTTGACAGAGAGAGATCACAAGTAGGCAGAGACGCAGGCAGAGAGAGAGGGGGGAAGCAGGCTCCCTGCTGAGCAGAGAGCCCGATGCAGGGCCCCATCCCAGAACCCTGACTAAGATCATGACCTGAGCTGAAGGCAGAGGCTTAACACACTGAGCCACCTAGGTGCCCTACTTTCCACTTTCTGAACTATTCTACTTTTAAATTTGGTGTAATCTGTAATTTTTCTCTCCGGGTTTAGAAGCATAGTACTCTCACTTATTCCCCATTCACACGGATCACTCCTTTTCCATTGGAGAAATGTGGCGCCCTTTGTGATTGCTTCTTTTTAAATGAGAATTATCCACAGGATGTGTAGCAGTTGCTACTGGCGACAGGATCAATGACCACTCACGTATTCTATTTAGCGTGACAAATGGGGATCTTTTTTCTCATTCTTCTGTGATATATGTCACTGTTTCCCTGTGTTTCTCCCCCATACCACGAATGCGGACTCTACATGAAGCAAGAGTCAAAACTGTCCATAGTGGACAGCAGGCTGCAGCACCTTGAACCTTTGTAGGTCAACACTGAGCTGATGATTTCACTTCAGAATTGCATCATGTGCCAGGGAATCAGGAACCTTCTCCTGTGCCAATTCCCATTTAGTGTGTGCTTTCCATTGCCAGCTCTGCCCCCTAATCTAGTCTTTAGCAGTCCTCAGATTTGCAGTTGTCTCCAAATGGGGGAAATGCCCTGGGAACCTTTGGAAGACCAGATAGAGCCATAAGTACTCCTATTGAGTGCCCACTGTTAACATGTATTTGGGTCCTGGTCTCCCAAGTGAAGGGCATGTTGGAAAAGAAACAAGTCCACCTCCTCTTTGAATTTCCATGGGTGCTAGGTTTATACTGCTAATGAGAATCGCATGGTATGGTAGCAGACAAACATCAGATTCCCACATATCAAGTTCATACTCTCTCAGTGCTGCCTTGTGGGGTTTTTCGGAGTTTCAATGAAATAACACGTCTTAGAAATTACTGAGTAATGTGCCTAGTACCAGTAGATCAGCCAATGGCAGACGTTGCATGAAGGTCACTGGGTCTGAGGGAGTGCAGTGTGACTTTTGTATCTCTAAGAAATGCAGGCGATTGTTATGTCACTGGCTTCTAAAAATGGGAACCAGAAGACCGGGTGAGAGAGAGGGAAATTATTTCTACCCATAACATTGGGTGCTCTGCTTTTTCTTCTCCATCCCCAATGCACACATTTTATACTGGCTGCAAATGTTGGGTCGGTGGCTCCAGGAATGCGGGAGAAACAATAGAAATGACCACAGGGCCGCTATCTTCCAGGCCCCTCCCCCACTTTCCTAACCCTTGACTCTCCCACCATAAGGATGTATGCCCAGGTCACGTCTCCACAAGTAACCCAATACCTATGCAAGAAACCGGAACATCAGGACTCCCCCAACCCTCCAATCCCCAAGTACCATACCTTATATGGCTGTGAGAACCTATTCCCTGTCTTAACCCAGATAAAAGACCCACTTGACACCCTCCTGGTGCGACTTCCCTGACTCTCCTCTTCCGAGTCGGGGAACCTCGCCGGAGGGCACCTTTAATAAATCTTGCCTTGTGCCTACCTCGCCTGGTGTCGTGTTTATCTCACCTGTAAAACCTTACAGCAAACATATAAGCCAACTGTGTAAATCAACACATTTGCCCTCCCTCTACTCATTTTTGTCACTGGACCTGGAGGGTAGATGCTCACTGCTAACAAGAATTGCTATAACAGTGGTTTCCCAAAGGAGTGACTATTAGAGCTTTGGCCCATGTACCCCATGAACCGGATCACCTTTCCATTCCTGGAAGTGTCCAGGCTCTAGCAAGAACACTTCCTGGCAGAAAAGCTGTTTAAGAGGTCTTTGCCATAGATGGGGAAGTATATTAACTGATCTTTAAAAGGTCCTGTCTACCTTTACGATATGGGGATTCAACATGCCTTGCCGAGAGAATAGAAATTCCTTAGATGTTAACAAAATCAAGTTTCTAGGAGTTGCTTGCATATGATTGACTTCTGGTTCTAGAGCCTGTATGTATAGTAAGAAGGAACGAACATCAGTCATTAACTTCTCCACAAGGAAGCGGTGCTGTAATGTGGTTTAATTTTAGGAATCACATTACTTCACTCAGGTGCTGATTTTGATTCTCAGTGGAACGAGGCTTTATAACTTAAATGTGTGAAAAAGGCAAATATGTTTGTTATAGGTCATTGAGCCACTCTATCTAGCAATATTTATGCAGTGTTCTTGGTACACTTAGACACAAAAACAAAAACAAAAACAAGCTGCTTTTGCCAAACTGAGGCAAGAGATGAAGCATAAGTTTTTCTAATCTGGTTGGGGGGCTAATGAATCGGTGAGTATTCAGGGCAGGCATAGCAGAAAGCACTTAGACAAGAAGGTAATCGCGTCAATTATAGTACTTTTGAAAAAATGCAGGGCAGATTGTCATCATTTGCAGAGCTCTGATTTAAAATAATTATTGTTGGCATATCTCCCTTCCTGGATGTGTAGTGTTCCATATGCTGCTGTAATGAGTGCTTTAGCTTGGGAGAAATACACAGAGATTTTTCTCTTTGCTTTTGGCTACTATTGTTTTATCCCGTTGGGAAATAAAAAACCTGATTTTTCTTTTTTTAAGATTTTTATTTATTTATTTGACAGACAGAGAGCGTGAGCACAAGCAGGGGGAGAGGCAGGCAGAGGGAGAAACAGGCTCCTTGCGGGGGTCGATCCTAGAACTCTGGGATCATGACCTGAGCCCTTGAGCCGAAGGCAGACGCTTAATGACTGAGCCACCCAGGTTCCCCAAAATCTGATTTTTGTTAATAGATATATAATAATGAGAGCATCGGGTGGTCTTTTAGGCTTGAACATACATAATCTTGAATCAGAGTGATCATGAGTGGCGTGGGGGAGTGTCAGGCAGAAGGAGAGGCAGAAGCACGCTCCCCGCGGAGTAGGGAGCCCCATGGGGCTGGATCCTGGGATTCTGGGATCAGGACCAAAGCCGAAGGCAGATGTTTAACCGACTGAGGCACCCAGGTGCCCATCCCCCCCCCCCTTTTTAATGGATGGGGCTGGTTACAGATTGCACTATAGAATTTCAAGTTTGGTATTTTTGATTCAGTTCATATTCAAGAAAGACTTTCCAAATTGTTCTTGGTACTTACCTACTATACTGCTTAAGGTAATTAATACCATTTTATTTTTTGACACATAGATTTTGAGTTTTGAATAGTAATTATGTATCACTTTAATTTTTACAGACTTACAGGCTCCAGAACCAGAACTCGTGCTCCTCAGAGATGTGCACTCTGATTTGCAAAATCCAGGAGGACAGCCCGGCACACTATGCAGGCCTGCAGACTGGTAATTTGTAATTTTGCTCATGTTAGGAATTATTTAAATGGCAAGAAAAATTTTATGATGTCAAAGGTTGGGATATGATTGCTGCTGCGAATTTTCTTCACTCCTTTATGTTGCTAGGGTTTGGGGCTTGCTTCTTTTGTTTTATTTGGATGTCAGGAGGGGTTATTTAAGCAACTGCTCTAACAACTCACTTTTCTTGGCATCTCCCAGGTGATGTCCTTGCAAATATCAATGGCATGAACACAGAAGGCTTTACCCACAAACAAGTTGTTGACCTGATCAGATCTTCGGGAAACCTGCTAACGTAACTATACATCTGCTTCCTGTAGGGGCTTCAAAAATGTTACGGTCTCTCATAATGCCTGTTGAGTGAATGAATAGGCTTTTGTTCAGGATCACAAGAAGGGAGGCCATGCACCATAGCTTTGGGACTGGGTACAGACATTCTTTATCAGTTCCTTTTGTTTCTCAAGGTTTCCTCAAATTTGAACATACTGTCAACATCTGAAGTCAGAGGACATCAATAGCTCAAACGTCTGTGTGGGAGGGATAGCATTTAGAAAATTTATTTTTTTATGTCAGATTCAATGAAACTGGCACACATTCTCTTTGGTCAGAGAGGAACTGGTCCAATTTCCATGGTTGATACAATCTTGTGGTTAGAACAAATGAAAGGTCAGAAGGGCTGAAGTTTTTATTCTGATACCACAAGCCCATTGTTTTTCTTTTCTAGTGTCCCATTTGGAAGGAAGGAAAAAGTCTACTCAATCCTTTCTGCTCTGCAATACACACATTCACACCTACTAATATTCCAGACTTACTAATAGGAGAGTGGCCTCCTCAACTAGAGATTTGACTGACTTTTCCACCGTACCATCCTTAGAATCTAGTAAGACTTCAGTAATTAGTAGAAAGATGGAATTTGCTCAGTCATTTAAGTGATATTTATTGAACAAATACTATGTTCCCAGCTTTGAGATAGGCTTAGGAGAGACATGGGCAAAAACTCTTGTACTGCTTTATTGATTGTGGGAGGAGATGGACAAGGAAAGCCTCCAGAAGAAGTAATCTTCATATTTCAATTGTGATAACTGCTGTTAAGAAAGTAAAATAAGGAATGGGATAGAATACTGAGTAAGAGGACTGCTGTGTAGTTTAGGTGTTGAAAGGAATCTTATCTGAGGAGAGGAAATCTGAACTGAGACCTAAGGAAAGAGAAAGGATGGTCATGTGAACTCCTGCTGAAAGTGTTTCAGGCCAAGAGGGAGGTCTCTGAACTCTCAAAATGGGCTTGGCATGTCTAAGAGAGAGAGACAACCAGTGTGATGGGTGGTTGGTAGATTAGGGAGAGTGTAAGAGATGAAGGCAGGGAGGAGAACATGGGTCTTGTCGGGTCAAGTAGTTTAGGATTTATTCTGCCTAAGGTGGGTCTTGCATTACCTCCTTCATTCTTCTCAGCCACCTTGTGAGGTTAATTTTATTTCTATTTATAGAGAAAGCGACTGAAGCTTAAATTAGGTAGAGTGGAGATCAGTGATCTAGTAAGTGACTGGGCTAGGATGTGACCACCTGCTCTGGATGCCAGGATCCATTCTCTTCAGCTGCCCCACAGTTGCTCCTTGCAAGCTACCCGTAGAAAATCTGCGGGATGCTCTTCAGTGATCCTCGTCTAAAACTTCAGAGATGCTCTGGGTGTGCGTGGGAGTAGTTTTGGAAGATGACTCCTGATGGTAGAGGACTTAGTCCAACTCTGGATCTTGTGAGTTCAGGGTGGAGGATGGGTGTGCTCTCTCCTCCAGAGAAACGAATCTGTGAGGTTGGAGCCATGCAGAATCCAAAGGGAAAAGGTGCAGTTAGAGTCAGAAAGCTACGTTCCAAATGGATGAAGTGGGCAGAATGCAGGGATATAATTAAGGAATAATGGATGGAGACGAATGGAGATCCAGGGATCAGGAAAGCGAGAGACATCTGTCTAAATACTGAAGAGAACAACCAAGGTGTGCCTGTGGCTCTGCACATAGACATCTGTTGCTTGGGTGGGTCAGATGGGCAGTAGGAGTCCTATTGAAACAGATTCACAGGATCCTCTCTAGTGCCCAGAGACAAGACCACCCTCATGAGAAAGCAGACAAAATCCTGGCTTGCATTATCATCTCACTATCTTGGGAATGATGTTATTAGAAATAGAGAAAAACAGGTCTTGGTATTTCATGCTATTGTTTTACCATGACTTGAAAATTTCTGCATCTTAATATAATATTTACAGTTTACTTATCAGAAGGAATTTGAACCATTATTTTAAAAATGCCTAGGTGTGTGACTCACACATGGAATTTGTTATCTCATTCAGATTGCTGACTTAATAGTCAAAATAAAGGTGTCAGCATGAGCCCACAAAATAAATCAAATCAGTCAGGATAGAACAAGTCTTTTTATTTTTAGAAAGACATTTGGTGTAGGGAGAAACGAACACCTTTAAACTGATAATTCTGAGATTGAAGTTTATAAACTTAAAAGGTTCTGAGATGTGAGAATGATACGAAGGTTATTATCTCATAGTGGTTCTGGCTCTATTTGTTCTAGTTGACAAATTAAGACAATTTACAGAGGTACAGTTTCTTAGAATCCTGGGAAAGAAGGAACTTTTTCCCTTTTCCAAGAAATGGCATGATGATTATACTGTTTGCAGATCCCTATTATATGTTGTTTTCGTTGCTGGATCCCTCATGCTTAGCACGGGGTCTAAAGTCTGGCACATGGCAGATGCCCAGGAAGCATTCACTGAATAAAATAGGTGATTCAGCCAGAGCCCATAAGGATAAATTCCAGTAGAGACCAGTAGTCATTGCCATGTAGTGGCGTCTATAAAACAAGCTATAGTTTACAAGTTAGCCAACATCTTTTCTTTCAACCACCCTCTCCAGGGGATTTTTGTTTTGTTTTGTCTTTTTTGTTTTGTTTTGTTTTATTTTGTTATTTCCTTTCCCTGCCTATTGTCAGAAGATTCAGCCTAGGTCCAGATACTTGAAATGCCGTGGGGATTATAACATTTATGTTGCTTTTTAAAGTACAGTCTGCTCTCCAAGTGTAGTACTTCATAAGGATGCTACTTGTTTGAAAGGATCACTCATGCTGCTCCTGTCCCCCACCCTCCCCCTTTTTTTTTCTTAAAACAGGATAGAGACTCTTAATGGAACAACGATTCTCAAAAGAGCAGAGCTTGAAGCAAAGCTGCAAGTTTTAAAGGTAATTTAACACAGTGAGACACACTTTCCACCCTTGAATGTGTGAGTGGTAGAATAAAAATGTATTTGAGGGATTGAAACAGCCCTTGAAGATGAAATGTCGTGATGAGTCTAAACTGCTAAATTATCAAGAGCCACACAATGACCATTACAGGAATATTCAATTCCACAAACCAGGGCAAATCACTTTCTTCCTTCCTCCTTCTGTGTTTCTAGGAGGCTCAGGAAGGCAACAGGAAGGCACATCACTTGAAGAACTTTTCAGTAATGCACCTGTGATCTCTCTTGATTTACATTTTGGGGGGCGGGGAACAAAGGAGGAGTTGCTGGTTTTTCCTTGCTTTCTCCAAGTGCTGCATGTGTGCGGGAGGGCCCGGAAGCTTTGCTTTTCCATTGTCCTCTTCTGGGTCCTTCTGCCCTGCTTCATTCTTCTTACAAAAATCATCTCCCTCTTCTCCGGTGGCTGTCCTTGAATCGACTTTCATGGGCAAACACGCAATCAGCTTTGAAGTGGAAAAAATGAAGTTTCCGGGAGGTAGTACACAATGCAGAGAGTTCAGAGAAAATTCCCTGGGAAGGCTCTTTGAGGGTCTTGAAAATCTCGGTTTGCTAGACTGGTGAGGCTCTGCCAGGCTGTGGAGTGCAGACCCTCATTCCTGTGCCTTTGAATCACGATCCTGCAGACTCCATGACCTCTTTCTCCCAGAGATCGCCGCTGCGTGGCACTGAGGTGGCCAGGCTGAGCAGAGACCCCAGGGCTTACAGGCAGGCTGCTCAGTTGGACTGCGTTTTGCAATAGTTGGCATTTATGAATTTTCTATATGAAGTACGTACTTCTTAATTATTGAGCCCATGAGGGTAGAGTTACTATGTTCATCTTTTATCTTGTATTCTTCCTCCCCTCATACCTAGTTCATCGATGAGCCCTGTTTCCTTCTGCGTCAACACTGATTTTATACTCTTGTCATTTTACTTGTCCTTGGGATATTTTGAATTAATTTGTAAAATTCCTTGAAAGGTTCCTCTGTTCAGAGTATGATAGGAATTGATATTTATAGAATAAATATCAGTTGACGCTTTTATGGTTTTCACCTTTCCTACTTCAAACACAGGATCCTGACCTCTTAATTCAGGTCTTTTATGTACTTCAAAAACATTTTATCTTTTCTTTATACACTTTTATGTAGCTTTTATTATGTTTATTCTTAGGTGCCTTCTAAGTTTTCTTGCTACAATAAACATGATTTTTTAATTTTCAAAGATCTCTTAATTTGTCGCTATTAATTTTTGTGTAAATTTTTAAATCCGATAGTCTTACTGAACTCTCTTTATTCCAGTGTTTGTAGATTCCCTTAGATTTTTTCATAGAGGCGTAATATCTGCAGATACTGAAAGTTTTGCCCCTTTAGCCCTGGTTATTCAACTACAGTTGATTCTTGAACAGCACAGGTTTGAACGCTTGGGTCCACTTATATGAAGTTTTTGCTCTTTTATACATGAGGTCTGACATTGCAAATGTATTTTCTCTTCCTTGTGATTTGTTTAAAAATATTTTCTTTTCTTTAGCTTACTTTCTTGTAGGAATACAGTATGTAATATAACATAAAAAAATCTAAAAAAAAAAAATCTGTGTTAATCAACTGTTTATGTTATTGGTAAGGCTTCCAGTCAACCCTAGGCTATATTAATGAAGTTTTTAGGGAGGCAAAGTTATAGATGGATTTTTGATGGGGCAGGGGTCAGCACCCCAAACCCCTGTATTATTGAAGGGTCAACTATATAATTTATTTTTCTTCTCTTACAACATTGATCAGGATTCCTGCAAATAGTGATAATCTTATTCTTGACTTTAAAGGGAATGCTTCTAACATTTTATCATTTAATTTTTGTATGGAATAAACAGGGCTTCATATTACAGGTATGTTTTAAAACTGTCAAAACTGAATTTGTTTTTACAAAAAAAGACAGTATTAGTGAGGATCTTTTTTTTTTTTTAAGTAAACCTGGCTTTTTCACCTTCTCATGGAAAAAGGAAAGAAATGTACAAAATAAACTGGTGGTGTTATCTAAAACATAACTGAGCAATAAGTCTACATTTTGTGGAATAAAGCATCCTACAAAAAACACATTTCATGTTTCTAAGCAATTTCTGCTCCTTCAGTGTTTTCTCTGGAAATTTTAAAATTCGTAGCTACCAATTTTTTCAAATGAAGTATACATTTTTCAATATACCCGTCCTTGCCCAGAACATCATGAGGACATTAACATATTTAAATGTTCATCTTAAGGCCCCATCTTTCCTATTATTGCTTTACTTTGGAGAATTTTATCAATTTTTAGAATGGAAAACTATGTATTTTTGTTCTGAGTAGCTTGTAGTGAACACATATGCTAATGAATTGAATTGACGTGCTTGCTGTTTTCTGTTCTTCCCTCTGGGTTTACTTTCTTTTTTGCTGTAGTACTTCTTGCAAGGGTAAGCAGGGCTTTCTTTGTCCAAACAAATCTTTCACTGCTAATGTTGAAGGAGAGTTTTATTAGGTGATTGAATTATTCTCAGTTGATGTTTTGCCTCCTTAGCCTTTTAAATGTATTGTGCCTTTGATATTTTTGCTTATGGAAGAGATTTTATTGTTTATCCTTTGTAGGTAATCTGCATTTTCTATATTTTCTTCCAAAAGTTTTAGGGTTTTTCCTTTTTACACCTAAGTCCTGGATTCGTCCAGAATTGATTTGTATGTGTGGTATGAGAGGATTCTAATTTTCTTTAATTTCCATATCAATACTCAGTTCTCCTAGTACCATTTCTTTTAGTCCTTCTTTTCCTCCAAAATGACCTGCAGCGAAGTTTTTGTTTTTAAGCAAGTTTCATATATGCATGGATTTTGTTATAGGCTCCATATTCTGATCCATTGTTTTTCTTAAACTCAGTTATTATACCTTTCTAATAAATATTGGTATATTGGTTGAACAAACCCTCCAGGTTATACTTAATTCTTTTGATCATCTATATAAATTTTAGAATCAGATTATCAAGTTCTATAAATAAATTTTGGAATTTTGATTGATACTGCATTTTGTATAGCTAGCTCAGTTTGAAGACTTAACATCTCTATAGTATTGTGTTTTCTTAGTGATAGATGATCTCACCATCTTTTTTTTTTTTTTTTTTTTGCCCATGCCCCTACTCCCTTCCCCTTCCAGCAACCACCAGTTCTCTCTATTCATGAATCTGTTTCTGCTTTTTTTGTTTGTTTGACTGGGGGTTGTTTTTATGTTTTGTTTTGTTTTTGCATTCCACATGAAAGTGAAATCATATGGCATTTGTCTTTCTCTGACTTATTTCACTTAGCATAATACCCTGGAGGCCCATTCCTGTTGTCACAAATGGCAAGATTTTATTCCTATTTATGGTTGAGGAATATTCCATTGTGTATGTATACCACATCTTTATCCCTTCCTCTACTGATGGACACTTAGGTTGCTTTTTTACCTTGGTTATATTTTTAAGTGCTACAATAAACTTAGGAGTGCATATATCCTTTTAAATTAGTGTTTCTGTTTTCTTTGGATAAAAACTCAATAGTGAAATTATTAGATCATATGGTATTTCTATTTTTAATTTTTTGAGGAAACTCCATACTGTTTTCCACAGTGGCTGCACCAGTTTGCATTCCCACCAATAGTGCATGAGTATTTTTTCCTCCACATTCTTGCCAACACTTGATATTTCTTGTTTTTGATGCTAGCTATTCTGACAGGTATTAGGTGATATCTTATTGTGGTTGTGATTTACATTTCCCTGATGATTAGTGATGTTGAATGTCTTTTCATGTATCCCTTAGCCGTTTGTATGCCTTCTTTGGAAAAATGCCTATTTAGGTTCTTTGCCCATTTTAACTGAGATTATGTGGGGGTTCTGATGTTGAGTGGTGTATAGTTTGGATATTAATCCTTTATTGAATATATTATTTGCACATATCTTCTCCCATTCCATAGGTTCCTTTTTGCTTCAGTGATGTGCAAAACTTTTAATTTTGTTGCCGTCCTATAGTTTATTTTTACTTTTGTTTCCCTTGCCTGAGGAGACATATCCAAAAATAGTTTTTAAGACCAATGTCCAAGAGATTGCTGTCTATGTTTTTTTTTAGGAGTTGTATGGTTTCATGTCTCACATTTAGGTCTTTAATCTATTTTGAATTTATTTTTGTGTATGGTGTAAGAAAGCAGTCCAGTTTCATACTTTTGCATGTAGCTGCCCAGTATTCCCAATTAATGAAAAGACTGTTTTTCCTTCATTATATATTATTAACTCCTTTGTCATAGATTGATTATCCATTAAAGTGGGTTTGTTTCTGGGCCTTCTATCCCTATTCATTGATCTATGTATCAGTTTTTGTGCCAGTACCAAACTGTTTTGACTACTTTGGCTTTGTAGTATATCTTGAAATCTGAGATTGTAACACCTCCAGTTTCATTGTTCTTTCTCAAGACTGTTTTGTCCATTTGGGGTCTTTTATGGTTTCATACAAATTTTAGGATTATTTGCTCTAGTTCTGTAAAAAAATACCACTTGGATTTTGACAGGGATTACATTGACTCTGTAAATTTCTTTGGGTAGTATGGACATTTTAATAATATTAATCCTTCCAGACCATGGGCATGGTATATCTTTCCATTTGTTTGTGTTGTCTTCAGTTTCTTTCATCAGTGTCTTAAATTTCTCAGAGTACAGATCTTTTCACCTCCTTGGTTAAAGTTTTTCCTAGATATTTTATATTTTTTGGCGCACTTATAAATGTGATTGTCTTCTTAATTTCTTTTTCTGCTACTTCATTATTAGTGTATAGAAATGCAATAGATTTCTGTACTTCAATTTTGTATCCTGCAAATTTACTAAGTTTATTTATTAGTTTTTTGGTTGTATTTTTTATGGTTTTCTATATATAGTATCACATCATCTACAAAAATTGACAGTTTTACTTTCTCCTTAATCAATCTGGATTCCTTTTATTTCTTTTTCTTGGCTGATTGCTGTGGCTAGAACTTCTAGTACTATGCTGAATAAAAGTGGTGAAAGGGGACATCTTTGTCTTCTTCCTGATCTTAGAGGAAAAGTTTTCATAATTTTAACCATTTTTAATTTTTTATGTCTTTCAATAAAGTGTTATACTTTTATGCAAATAGATCCTATACATTTCTCACTAGTTGTATTCCTTTCTACTCATGATTTTTGTTCATACTATAGTTTCTTCATAAAAACAATGAATGTTTTGATTGAGGTTGATGTATAGATTTGTAAAACCAATTTTATGCTGTTATTCAAATTATAGGATTCAAACTATTTCTAAACTATATAATTTCTAACAAATTATCTGTAGATTATTTGGGGTTTTCTGTGAAGATAATAACTGTTAAGGATGACATAAAATTCTCTTTCTTCACTCCACTGGGTAGGGCTTACAAAACAGTGATGAATAGAAACTGTAATTAAGGCGTCCTTGTTTTGTTTTGATTTTAAAGGGAATTTCCACTTTTTCCCATCAGGAATGAGCTCTCTCTATGAATATACTTTTCAGATTTGAGATGCTCTCTTCCATACTAAATTTCCTGGTAGTTTTTATAGTGTTTGTGTATTGAATTTTATCAGACACTTTTTTGTGCATGTGTTATTCTTGCTTATTTATTTTAAAAATATCTGTCAATATGGTGAATGACATTTAAAGATTTTCTAACGTAAAACCACCTTTGCATTTCTAGAATAATTGAAACTGATCATAATTTATACTTGTTTTTATATAATTATAGATTTGATTTGCTAATATTTTCTTTTGGATTTTGGAAGGTAACTTTATTTTATAGGTAGAATGGCCTGCAATTTTCTTTTCTCAAACTATCTTTCTTTAGTTTTGGATGTATCATGTTTACTGGACTCTTAACATGAGCTGGGGAGAATCTTCCCCTTTTTCTTCTCTGGTAGAATTCTTATAACTATCTGAATCATCTGGGGTTAGCGTTCTTTTTTGGTGGGAATTCTTCTAAACTGTTTCAGTTTCTTTATTAATTATAAGCTATCTCAGGCTTTCTGCTTTGTTTGTTTTGTTTTATTTGGGCCAGTTTTATTGAATTAATATTTTTGTTAAATTTTTAAAATTTTCAAATTTATTTTATGTGTTGATAAAAAATTCTATTCTCGTGTTTTTCTTTTTATGCCTTCTAGCTCTCTCTTTCTCTATCTTCCCCACCCCCCTTGGTTAAGTCCAACTAGAGGATTTTCTATTTTTGAGTCTTTTCAAAAACTGGTATTTCAATTTGTGGCATTCTGTTGTCTGTTTCTGGTTACTTTTAAGATGTTCTTTTGTCTTACTGGTCTAAAAAAAAATACACTGAAATATGATTAGGTTTAGATTTAGATTCACTTCTAAATTTATGCTGCTAAATTTAGATTCACTTCTAAATTTATACTGCTTAGAAATTGCAGTACCTTTTCAATCCAAGGACTTGTGAATTTCTTCAGTTTTGGAAAGCTATCAGCTTGATCTCTTTGAATATACATTCCTCACCATTCCTTGAATTATCTTCTGGAATTCTTGTTAGGGATATTTTTAGAGTCTTTTGATTTATTTTCTTTGTTTCCTAACCATTTTTTCATATTTTGTATGACTTTATCTTTTTTCTTATGTTCTTGTTGAGTTCTTCAGTAATGTCTTTATTCTGTATAGAATGAGTTGTTCCCATGAATTTTAAGAGTTAATTCATTTTTTATCTTCAGATCATTCTTTTTCATGTCTATCTGTTCTTGCTTTATTTCTTTGTTTCAGGTTTCTTGTTCTGATTGACATTAATCTCATTTCTTCCTCAAAGGATTATAAATATTTTTGTTTTAAAGTCTTCTTTGGACACTGTTCTGTTTTCTTTCTTCTTTCTTTCTTTCTTTTTTTGAGATAATCTATGTACTGACTGTCAATTTTGTTGTCTTTCATACCATTCGGAATTCATATTGCTTATTTCCCATGCATGGTGGTCTTTGCCTTCTACTCCATATTGTACTTGGTTTGCCTCCACCCTGCATTTTCAAGGCTCCCAACCCAGAGCCAGGTCTGGCAGCTAGCCTGCCTTTCTAGAGGATTCGTGTGCTGTTTGGCTCAAATCATAGGCTGCATTTATGTACTCCTGCCTCTCCAGACATGAGCTCTACATGAGCCATGGCCACCATCAGCAGCTTTTCTCACCCTGCCTTCATGGTAGTAGAGCTTAGCCAAGGTTCAAACAGGAAACTTGTCTCTGTCCTGTGCCCTGATAAATAAGTGCATTTAAACTATAGATTGCTTGAGGATCCAAATTCCTAGCTACCCGTTTCTGCTTCTCCAGTTCTGGCAGATCTTTGGGTTCATCCTTGCTTATCTTCTTGCATTTCTTTTCCTTTTCTATTCTTGAAATTATGTGATTTCCAGTTTACCTCCTGAACCAGAAATATCTGGATCTGACCTGCAACTAGGGTCAAGTTGGCTTCCCCTTCACACGATGACATTTAGTTTGTGTGTCCTGTGTAAGTATGCATTCATCTTTTAAAGACTCCAGAGGCCACAAGCTCTTCTTTAGAAATGGGGGTCCATTCTGAGCTGTTTACAGGGATTCCCTTTCTTATAACCTATGATTCAGTTGTTTAAGATGAAAACAGCACATCCACTGTGCTAGCTAGAGGAGCTGTTTTTAAATCTAGCTCTGCTTTTCACTGGGTTTATAGCCCTACATCGCACCTTTATTTTCTAATCTGGGACTTTGTAGGACTGATAGGAAAATTAAACAGCATGTTATCCACGAAAGCAGTGTAAAAGTAATAAAGATGGAAATGTGTAGCTATATGTCTCATGTATATTGAAAACATTGGAAATATATCCAACTCAAAATATCCATCTGTGATAGTTGAGTTTTATTTCAGGAAGCCATTCTTTGATATATTCATTCAACCAATATTTACTGAGCAGTTGCTATATACCAGGCTCTGAGCTCTGAGCTAGGTACAGTGAGGTGATAGGGCCCGGTATGGTTAGATTTCCCACATGCTTTAATTTACTTCTAATGGTGAGAGGTCTCATTTGTCCAAATAACAAATGTAATGTTAATAACAAGCAGAAACAGATTGTGAGTAAAATGGGGAAGCTGAGAGAGAGATTAAAAACTCTTAGTCACTTTGGCACATCTGCTCTTTACACTGGTGTTTTCTTGGTTTAAGTGATGACGTACTTAGATGACTGGGCCAAGTCAACAGATTAGATATTTAAAAACCTTTATTTTCACAAAAAATAGCTATCTGGCAAAGCCTGACTTTGTATTTCTGAATAGCTAGTGCAAAAATACAATTTCCTTCTCTCTCCATATTTAGTTTTGACTGTCAACCTATCTTTATGTTCCTCTCCTGAACTCTATTCTCTTGCAGGAGAAAGACCCCTTTAAGAGAGAAGGAAGGGGTTAGATCCTTGCTAGTTCTGTTTGTTCTCTGTGGTCCTTAACTCTGACCTTCATAGGACCACAGTTGGCACAGATAAAAGGAGCTGTGACTCAGACAGCCCAACAGTCTCATAGCCATACTGACTATCCTATAGTGAAGAAAGAACAAGCAATTAACTAAGTCAGACATTTTACGGCTTTGATTTAGTGCTTGCAAATTATATAGGTAACCGTAAAGATTGACGCTAAACGTTACCGTGATCAAGGCTTGGAGAATCCCGTCCTGTGATTGTTCAGCCCCCCTGAACTGAGGAACCAGCCATTCTTCCCTTAAGCATTTGATGACATTCTTAAAATTGTATGATTTTCTTTTCCTTTGGTCTTCCCTTTCCAAATGTACTTTTTCCCACTTTTCCTTTTTAGCCTGCATCTACCTTTCCCAGACTGCTTCTTACAAAGGAGTGCTTGTTTCCAATGGGCTATCTTTCCGTGTGATGAAGTGTCCATAGGCAAAGGCAAAGCTGAGCTGTGCCTGCCTGTTGGGCTTGCTATGGGGATCTGAGTTGGCAGGGAAAGGGGCCGGACAAAGGCCAAAAGGTGGGAGGGAGAATGAGCCTCTAGGTGTCCTTGACAGATGGCCTCTGCCTGGTTGCTTTGTCTCTCATCACCTCAACCCCTTTGATGGGCTGGGCCAGGCCGTGACAGCAGCCCCTTCATTACCATCCTGGGCCACTGCTTGCATGTGCTGGGGAGCGGAGGAAGGAAGCAGTTAAGAAGTCACAATGCTTATCAGTGTTCTAAGTTTAGCCTACTAAGGAAGCTTTTCAGACAGGCTGGCTTCCCCTTTTTGCTGTGAAAAATACATAGGTGTGTAGCAATAAACAGAGCTTTAATGCCCCAGGCTTACAGTATGATGATATTTGCTGAACAATTTACTAAGCTCTAGTCACTGTTCTGAACATTTTACATCTACTAACTCTCCGAATTCTCAGTACAGTCCCAGGGTTTCGATTCTGTTTATTGCCTTCATCTTATACATGGGGGAGGGAGGGAAGCCTGGAGAGTAGATCCTTGCCTCGACAGCTAGTAAATGGACACAAATCCAAACAATCTGGTTCTGTAATATTTTTTAAAATATACAAATAAATAAATGTCATGGTTTCTCTTGTCTGTTGTTTCTATTGAAACAATGTTATTGTTTTAACTTGATACTACTAGATTATTTCCTGAGAAAGTAGTATTCCCAGTATCTCCCTTTTATGTAGAAAATAATCTTCCAATGAATGGGAGGAGTTCTAACACTAGTTAGAAAGAAAGGGAAAAAATTATGATAAATCTCATCATCTAGAAGTAAATTGTTATCTTCAATGGGGATTCCCAGTTATTAACACTTTTTTTTTTTTTTTTTTAATCAGCAAACCTTGAAGAAAAAATGGGTGGAGTTCAGATCTCTGCAGTTACAGGAACAGCGTCTGCTTCATGGTAAATGTAATTTCCTGTTCAGAAACCACACTAACATTCATCTTTTTGGTATTTCTGCCTCTAAGTTATTGCAAGATTATCATGATTATAGGAAAAAATTGTCTAGCGTGGATCAAGAATACTAGACTGTGTTTTTTGGCCTGACCTTTGGAGTAACCTATGTTTTTGGAGGGTGAGTAGGTCAAGTCACATCCCCTCCTCCATACATATAACACATATGCACACAAAAACTTGCACACACTTGTATATATGCACATACGTGCAAGAGGTACCTGGAGTTTTAGAAGAGCGGTAGGAATGATAGCCTGGTTTTCCTACTACTGCTGTAGATGAATTAAATTTCTGAGAATGTTTGTGGCTCCGAGGTTGTGTAGTTCTCAGAAATTATTGAGGCTGGAATGGTAGCATGCGTCTTGGGTAGAGCTCCTATCATTTGTTCATATTATACAAGTTATGTGAATGCAGAGAAATGCTTCTTGGCCTGTAAACCCATCAGAAATACCAATGATCATTCTAACAGTAAAGGCATGGCTCTTGCCACTGTGTGAATTCTGAAGGGAAAGGTTGAATTCAAATGTTGTTGATTTGGGAGCACCTGGGTCAGTCAGTCGGTTGAGTGTTGGACTCCTGATCTCGGCTCTGGTCTTGATCTCAGGGTCATGAGCTGGAGCCCTGCATCAGGCTCCATACTGGGAATGGAGCCTGCTTAAAAAAATAAAATAAAATTTTGTTGATCTAACATTTGCTATGTGACTGGTGTTACCTGAGGAATGAACTTTTTTGTACAAATAATTCACTGAAACCACTAGCTATGTGGGTGTGAAATGTAGGTTCTACCTTCTCAAGATACCACTGAGCTAAAGTCTTTATTTATAACCTAGAACGTTTGTTTCAAGTAATAATTTATTTATATGAAAAAAGATACATTTAATTCATAATTAGGCACTAATGTATGGCTTAGAGGTTTGTGTAGAAATTTTGTTTTTTAAATGAAACTTCTATGTAAGTTACTTCTCTTTGGTATGTTTTAAAATTAATATGCTAAAAAATTCTTAGTAGATTTTTGGGAGGATCTGAAACTTCCTAGCAGGATAGAGGTATAAAATCCAGCCACTCCTGGATTTTTGTAGACTTGAGGGTGTTTGGGAAAACTTTGCCCCCACTTCTGGAACATTCTGGAGTGGAGATGGGGTTTGGCTTAAAATGTATAGGCAGTCCTGGGGTTCTATAGGAATAACTTGTATAGAGAAGGTCTTTAGTTCAAGATTAAGGGGAATGACTCCTCATTAAAGCCATTGTTGTACACATTTTTTTTTTTTTTTTTGAGAAATTGAAGGAGTTCTGTAGTTTACTTTTTCTAGAATAAATATACAGGGCTTGAGATTCTTAATTGGTTTCTGATCAAAAGCAATTCATCAACTCGTTACCCATTGAAATAAGGTAGGTGTTATTAGTAAAAAAGGAAAGCATTCTGGCTAGTCACTGCAGAGCTGGCTGTATTCAACCTTGCAGATTAAGTGGAAAATCAGTCTCTTTTTGTATTGCTAATCAAGGACAAAGGAGAGCAACAATAGAGAAATAATCAGCACAAAGTATAACCATTTCTGAGTGTGCAATGTTCTATTACTTTTCCTGAAGTAGAGTCACCTTCTAACTATGTTGTTCTCAGGGTGGTATAACAAATAATCCCCTTCCTTTAAGTAGCAAACCAGCCAGATAGTGCCCAAGCAAGTGGGGGTAGGGATAGGATGTTGGTGGTGCAATTAAAATTTGAGTTTGGAGAGCCCAGATACAGGTTATGAAAGGTTGATTGGAAAAAAAAAATTCAGCTAAGCAGGTAAAACTCAACTTCTACAGATAAATTGTTACTTATTTGAAGACAAGGCTGTTTTCTGGGTACTGTACCATTCCAAAGCATTTCAGTATTAAAGTATTCTAGGAAGAAACATGGAATATTGAGACTGGAAGATATCCTCTCTGTTGTAAACACCTTTGAGTTCTCTGTAAATCAGCCTACAGGTACAGGTTTTATAACTGTGTTTCCCATATACTTCGAGTGATGTTATGATAATTATATAATTATTTAAAATTTTCAGTAACTGAAAATCAGAGGAACTTAATGGAGGAAGTCTATAAAATGTCATTCCCTTAAGTATATTATATTTTTTATATTTTTCCCAGTACATTCTTTAGAATGCCATTTCTGTGAGGACTTTAGTGAAAGGTTGCAGGGTCACTTCCGTTTAAGAAATGATACTTTTGGAGGTTGACAAGTCACACTGGCATACTATCAGAGGAGTTGACTGTTCTTATGTGAAGAATCTATTTACATTTTTTTAATTCAGCATGACTGTTTCTGTGACTGTGGAACCCTTGTACATGAAAGCTAGTCCATGAACAATGGTTTGGGAAACACCACTCTAAGGTTTATTAAGTGGCCTCATAAAGAGTCACTTACTTATACAGATGAAGTTCAGTGAAAAATATTTTTCACCTTTACTCTTTCTTGCACCCTTTCAAGAGAAATTTTGGTGTATTTGCTGGTAGAGGTTGATGCTCCTATCCATTCCACAGAAGTCTTTTGTTTTCTGCATTCTAGGTGACACAGGTAACTGCTCAAGTTTCGAAAACATGGACATAGATGAGTCGGTTTTGTTTGGAATTCTGCCGGGGTCGGGCTCAGCCCTCCTGGACCGGAATCGACTATCCAGTGAGAGCAGCTGTCTGAGCTCCATGACCGTGGACAGCGAGGACGGCTACCAGATGTGTGTGTCTGAGGACTCAAGCAAGGGAGGCTTCAGTCGACAGACAAGCACAGATGATGAGTGCTTTGTCCCCAAGGATGGGGACGATTTCCTGAAGAGGTCTGTTTCCAGGAGGGACCGAAGTTTTAGTTCGGCCAGCAGTGGGTCCATGTCACCCTTGTGGGAGGGCAACTTCTCAAACATGTTTGGGACCCTGCCCCGGAAAAACAGAAGGGGAAGTGTCCGGAAACAACTCTTAAAATTCATCCCTGGCCTTCACCGTGCAGTGGAAGAGGAAGAGAGTTGCTTTTGATGGGTTGTCTTGACCTTTCATAGTAGCTTATTTCGTAAATATCTTTAGACTTGTTTAGACTAACTCTACTCAGCCTGGTGGGAAATTGCAGATGGATTGCAAAACTGAAACACCATACTATGACAATGTGACCTTTATTTAAATTTTTGTACCATAAGTTTTGCTTCTTAAATCTTTTTTTTTTTTTTTTAACCAGAAAAGCTCAGGTTATAAACAGAAAGTAAGGGAATTGAGTAATAAATTGAAAAATAATAACAAATTAATGGACATTCCTGCTCATTCTAATGTTGCCTGGGAAGGCAAAGGTAAATATTTATTTTCTAGATTATGTGGAAAATTGAGAACTTTTCAGAGTCAAGGGTAAATAAAAGAGTGAAGGAATATAATTATTTGGATTACCTTCCATATGTTCATTGTAGGTCATAAAACTTTGTTTAAGATCAGTAGCCTCCAGGGAGGCTTAACAATAGGTGATTTTGAATGTTCCTGTTTACATCTGTGAAGGATCATAAACCAGAGGATCATTAGCTTTTTTTCACATCCACATCAACAATAAAGCAGGAGGTATAAGATACAAAAAGAGCAGGAATTATAAGATTCAATATGAGGGTTTGGGATCCATGGGAACATGTTGTCTAAGATGGGTGCTGAGCAAGATTATGATAAGGGCTTTTAGATAGACAGCCTAGACAAAATGGGTGAGAATGTCATTCTTACTCAATTTAATTTTTGTTCTGTCTAAACGTTGATGGGGAGTCTAGAATTCTCAAGATCCTGCATATAGCTTTGTATTTTTTTTTTTTTTTTTGAGTAAATGTCTGTAATTTGAAAAATTAGAGCCAGGAAATGGATTTTTCTCCTGTAGATTTTTTCACATTATTCCTCACCTTATATTATATATTCCAAACAGTTATTGCCTCGGCATGCTTTGTCTGTTGGTTATGTTGGTATCACAATACTTCCAGCCTTTCAATCACATTTTTATTCAGTACCCATTCAAGTCCATGATTTCTCTGCTCTGGTGATACAGCAGCTCATGACTGCTCTACATTCTGGTCATATTCATGACTACTCTATATTTAGAGGAGATAATGCCAACAATGTAATAAATAGTCCTTACTGATTTAAAGCTCTGTGTGTGTGTGTGTGTGTGTGTGTGTGTGTGTGTTTGGGACAAATAGAGACATTTGATAAGTGACTGAGTGTAACCACACTTAAATAAATTGAGTAGAGAATGAGTCATTTTAAGAAAAAAAAGGGGAAAGTAAGGAAGCTTGTAGTGTAAGAAATGAATATTAAATAAAATATAAAAAGATTTCTAATTGGAATCTACTTTCTAGGGGCGCCTGGGTGGCTCAGTGGGTTAAGCCTCTGCCTTTGGCTCAGGGTCATGGGAACGAGCCCCGCATTGGGCTCTCTGCTCAGTGGGAAGCCTGCTTCCCCCTCTTTCTGCCTGCCTCTCTGCCTACTTGTGATCGATCTCTCTGTTAAATAAATAAATAAATAAATAAAATCTTAAAAAAAAAAAAAAGACCCCACTTTCTATTAATTATTTGAACTCTGAGTTATCCAGTGGACTCAGCTAGGGAATCGTTCATATGAAAAGCAGGGTGCATTGTTTTGCAGGAAAAATAACAATGCTGTCCACAATTTACTGAACACCTAGTAAGTTAAAGACGCTTTCCATGTGATCCCTGAAACAACTCTGTTAGACAGGTGTTAGCCATACAGATAAGGAGGAGGAATTCAGAGAAGTTCCCATGGGCAGTGGCAGGACTGAAATTGAAAGCCAGTTCTTTTGGGCTCTGGTCCAGTCTAAGTCTATCTAGATACTGTTTACTCTTTTGCTGGTTCTGTGTGGTCATCTCCACAGGACTTCCTCCCAGCCCCTGCCCCTCATGGAATACTTACAGCATACAATTGTAGATACTGCATGGATAAAGATTGTCTTTGGTAAATAAGAGAACAAATAGACTTTTAGAATGACTCTTTCTCTTGGCCTCCACAAGCAAGTTTTCAAATAAAGGCACATTAATACCTTCATGGTTAACAATATATTTATGTATTGCAACAAAGGCTTGCAAGTCCAAGTTGTGGTTGGACTGATACTGCTTTTTTCCCATCAGTAGACTAGAATTATCATGTTAAAGATCTGCTTCCATGAATGCAACATATCTTGTTAATCCCGTTTTGCCAAATCCAGGGGGAAAGAAAGAATCCCGTTTATTTAGGGAAAGACGGCTTTAAATACTTGCACAACAGATCAGTGTTGTGAGAACTTGCACAAGTCATCTGGGAAAGCAGATTATGGGTTATTTGCTTTTCTCATGGTTTTAAGTGTTAAATATAGTGTAATTCTTCCTCCTTACAGTAAATATCAAACCCAAAAAGGTTCAGGGAAAGAACAGAGCGAAGAACTAGAACTAGAACTAAGAAGAACTAGAGTCAAGAGTTTGAGATGTTCTGGAAAAAAAGAAAAGCAGTTTTTAACCAAAGTACAGGAAGGAAGGGTATGTCATGTTCTGTGTGTTCACAAGTTATAAGAAAACTAGCTATTGTTTAGTGGAAATGTGGGTAAATTTCTCACAGCATAGCTTTTCAGACTATCTGACCTTGGCATGACTTTAGAAGATTTCATTTCTCTAATCTTCCGGTGCACAATGACTCACTTTGATGTAACTTACTGGGAAAAGAATTGAAAAGTGAAGTGTTTTGTTTTTGCTGAACTGAAATTGTTAAATATGTGGTATTGGTGGATTTCATTAATTGACATTGGTCATGAAAATGCATTTTTGTAGTATGGCATTGATAAACCAAATTCGAATCAAACATTGAGAATTACTCTGTCCTATGGCTAAAGGAACACCACCCCCCATGTCAAACAGGTTGGTACTCTATTTTTTAAAATGATCTTTAATTTATCACTTTCCATTTTATAGTACTTTTATATCTTAGTTGCATGTAAACAGTGTTAAAAATCAAGTTTGAACTGAAGAAATCAAACGGGTACAGTTTGTGTGTACTGATCATATAGTATAAGTATTTATGGATGTGTATAATCTAAGCACAGTAAATAATACATAAAAACTGTATTGTACCCTTCAGATCACAAGATTATTGGTACTTTGCATCCATTTCCTTACAGAAATATGGGCAGTAAAAAATGTCGATACCTTTTTGAAATAAAAAATACTATTTTTCAGTGTCAGAGCATTCTTCTCTCCCTTTCTCTCCCCTGCCCCATCTCTCTATCACTCAGTCTCTATCTCTTTACCTACCTACCTTAAATGAGATGATTGTTTTCAAGGCAGATTTTTTAAAAATCTAGGACGATGTCTTCATACTTACCTTTTTGAGGTTTTTAAAAAGCATGACCTACTTAATTGAGGCTTTGCACTTGTATTAGCTTTCTGATGTTTAACAAATTGCTACACACTTAGAGGTTTAAAACACATTTATTACCTCAAAGTTTCTTTGTGGGCCAGGTGTCTGGGCAAATATTAGCTTGGTCTGCTCAGGGACTCCTGGAGGCTTGCCTGGAGAATGATACACTAGGGAGCTCTCTCAGGTTGTCAGAATCATTTCCTTGTGCCATAGGATTCATGGCAGCTTGTTTAGTAAAAGCCAGCAGTGGAAAGAGAGACTGCAGACAAGACAGTCTTAAATAATGCAATGTAACCACAGGAGTGACATCTTCTCATCTTTGCCATATAGCAGGATATATTTGCATAAGTACCATCCTACCAACTATGTCATGTTATGTTTGTTAGACACAAGTCGTAGGATCTGTCCACACTCAAAGAGCAGGGATTACGCAAGACATGAACATGAAGAGGTAGGGATCAAGGAGGTAACTTAGGATCTGTTCACAACATAATTCAAGGAGCTTACAAACTTGATAATATATTGAGTCTTTTCTAAACTCCTTTGAGCAAATATAAAGCAAATATAAAAATGTTATAATTTTTAATAGAAAAGTAGTAAGATCTCTGAAATTAAAGAACCTGGCCAAGATCGTATAACTAGCCAAAATGCTGAGTAGGAAACTGAACCCAGGTCTGTTTCTGATCTCCTGACTGTCCCTCAAGTGCATGAAATGATAGGAAATTTTAAAAGAATATTAAAGTGTGAGCTAGTTACTTGTCTTAAAATTCTTCTCAGGGAATTTGAGTGTATTTAAGTGAATCAGTGATTGGCATGATGAAATTTATCGCCTCTATATGGGTACATCTTTATGAGCACAGGACAGGAATTCTATGGAAAAACAAAATTCTTGTAATCAAAACTACAAAGCACAAAAAGGAAATGATCAACCATGAACAAAAATCAGGAGGTAGTGCAAATACCGGAATTATCAGAACTAGAAAAAGTAAAGCAGTTTGAAAGAATATAGACATATATTTCCTAGGAATAGAGGACAAATAAAGAACATAAGCAAAGAACATGTGCAATTCAATAAAGAACATATGTAAATATCATAATGGTGAGAAACTGGCTGTTTTCCCCCCGAGATTGAGTACAAACCCAGGATATCCTCTTACCACTTACCAGGATACCTCTTACCTTATTTCCCATTGTGCTGAAAGTTTTAGCCAGTGTACTAACACGAGGAAAGGAAACAAAAGGCATACAAAGTGAGAAGGAAGAAATTAAACTTTTGTTTGCTGATGACACGATTGTCTATCTGGAAAATGATGAAGAATGAACAAACAAAAAATCCTGGAAGTAATAGTGAGTATAGCAAGGTCACAGAATACGAATTACTACAATGGCAATGAAGAACTGTTGTTTGAAAATAAACAAACAGTAACTTTCTAATAGTACCTCCCAAATGAAATACTTAAAAATAAACCTGACAAAAAACATAGAGTATTTATGTGTGAAAAACTCGAAAACTCTGTCCAAGAAAATATAAATAAGTAGAGAGATATTCTGTGTTCATGGATTAGAAGACTTAATAGTGTTAAGATGTGATTTCTTCTTAACTTAATCTATAGATTTAATGAATCCCAATCAAGATTCCAGTAAACTGTTTCATAGGACTTGACAAACTGATTCTAAAGTTTATATGGAAAGGCAAAAGACTTAGAATAGCAAAGTGAGGAATAAGAAGGAGAATGAGGAGGAGTAAGAAAAAGAGGAGGAGGAGAAAGTTGGAGGAATACAATACTCAACTTCTAGACTTTCTATAAATCTGCAATAATTAAAACAGCATGGTATTGGCAAGAGAACAACATATAGATCAGCAGAACAGAATAGAGTGCACAGAAATTGACCCATACATATATAACCACTGACCTTAGACAAAGGAGTAAAGGCAGTTAAATGGAGAAAGAATAGAGTTTTCAACAAATGGCTCTTGAATCCATATGCAAGACCTTACACATTTCATACATTTCATAAATTATAGACCTATATGTAAAACATAAAAGTATAAAACTTCTACAAGATAACATAGGGGAAATCAAAATCAGTTTGGTTATTGAATATTGGGTTTTGTGATGAATTTTAGGTACAATAAAAGGATGATTTATGAAAAAAAATGTTGATATATTGCACTTTATTAAAAGCAAAAAACTTCTGCTTTGGGAAAGATACTGTAAGGAAAACCAAAAGAAAAGACATAGACTGAGAGAAAATGTTTGCAAAAAACATATTTGAAAAAGGACGTGTGTGCAAAATATAAAAAGAACTTTTAAAATTCAAAACTAAGAACACAAGCAATGTAATTAAAACATGTTCAAAACATCTGAACAGACATCTCCAAAGATAATACATAGATGACAAATAAATGCATTGAAAGAATA